AAGCATCGCAGATTATCGCCATGGAATCACCACTCCTTTGCTGTTTGATTTAATTAGTTGAATATTGCTGCAAAAGTTTATCGATCTCTTTGGTTTACATTAAAGATAAATGAGATATTACCGGTCGATTAGTCGTTGATTATGTTGTAGATGTTGCGAGATTTCAATGGTCCGCCTTTTTCTGGTGGTGGGTGCCCCTCAGCCAGCGACCAAACTGAGCGTACCACCCCTTTCAGGCTATGCCTGGTGCTTGTCGATTCGGTGATTTCCAAAGCACACAACTCTAATCCCCCTTCTGACCGTTTTAAAGGATCCAAGGACCGCTCAATACACCAAGTTGCCCACTTTTCCCACAAACCATTATATGCCAAGTTGGTGGATCTGCTCACACGGTCAAAATAGGCCCTAACATCCGATTTAGATTGCCCTTGGTGCAAGAGGGCTTGCCGGATGAGCTCCTGTCTGTCATGTACTGTCAATGTTGTAAGCCTGCGTCCACACTTTTTCGTCGCACTGCCACCCGCTGGTGAAGGCTTCGGCACTATAGGTGGTGGAAACAACGCCGCCGAACTACCCCGTCTAGCCACACTCGAGGTACTCTGTGTTGCATCTACGGGCACTGGCGCCGAATTCAAACCGCGATTCATAGTGCAAATATGTCCAACAGAATCGATATTCCCCTGGACTGTCCTGGCCGAAACCATTCTGTGCTTGTCGCGCGTATCGACGAGAGTAGCACAAAGCGTAGCTAGCAAGTCCACTACTAGCTCTACCCGCCCATTGTCAACTGTCTGACTGTTTAGCATCTTTTGGAGAATCTCCACTCCGTAGGCCGCCATTGTCGCTGCTTGGCTGCAAACGTCATCAATGCTAATGACATTTTTCGGTTCTGCTGCACTATGGCGTAGAGGCGCAAAGCTAGATTGCCCAGGCGGGTACTGCTCGCGGAGATCAGCCCATGTCGATTTGAAACAGCGAACTCCCCGTTCAACTGTGTCTAGTCGTGCATCCGAAAGCAGCTCAATAGTACTGTCGTCATTATAACTGTTCGTTGAACTACTGGATACAGGTTCGATATCCATTGCTTGACATTCTGCGCTGGCAAGGCTATCTGTCGGTGTGGTTGCGGCTTGCTTTCGGGCTTTTACGAAAGCAAGTAAAAGCGCTTGGGCCATTTCAAGATGGGAAATGCTGTTACGCATATAATCAAACGACAAGTCCATGATGGAATATGAAAAAGTGACTAGCGGATGTCAAGTAGTTGGAAAGGGAAGAAAAATAGATGTGAAAGAGATCCAAGGACTTTTTGCATGAAACGCAGCCATTTGCATGAAACTGCTTTAGTACGAGACTGGGGGGTAAAGTGGCGAGAAAAACGTTTGGCTCAAGATTGATGGCAGTAAGCTTTCTCCCGGTGCTCTGTTGATACAGCACTATGTTTGCTACTGCGGAATGAACCGTTTGGTGGGCGGATGTATGAACGCCATTCCAGCAAACTGATGCTTGAGTTATTATATAAGTACACGACGTTGATACGCCAGAGCGTGTAGAAGCCGAGTACATCTACTACTAAACCTTGCTTTTGCGAGTACTATATAGCGATAATTACGGCCAAATACTAGCAGACATTATTAATTTGCGCCGCCGCCGCAGCATTAAGAAAAAGCGACCCATGTCATATAAAATAGATAATAGTGGCAAGCCAAAAAGAAGAAACATCCGAAAATAGCTCAGCGGTAGAGCGGGAGACTGTAGTTTCAGAAGTACATCCGTGTAGTAATCTCTAGGTCCCTGGTTCAAATCCGGGTTTTCGGAACATCTCTTTTTTGCATTGTTTTTATTTGCTGTATGTAGAAAAAATAAAATGATTTGCACTTTTGTGCCAAACCATGTTGGTGATCAACCCAACACAGCCGATCAGATCGCGACCGAGCCGAGTGAACCGAGCCGAGCCAGCTCAACAGC